GTCCCTGAGGCTAAAACATGAAACCAGCCCATTCCTGAAACAGCATCCTAAAATATAGGATATGCAGTGACTACTGCACATAGATTTTCCTCTTTCTCTTCTAGTGAAGACTCCTTAGCCTGGATGCTTAAAGCAACTTCTTATACTTTTCCAGAACACTAACATATTATTTTATGTAATCAATGTCACAGTAATCAATCTGCAAGAATCCTGCTGTTTAATGGAACCAAGCTACACACACACACATTCTCCTATGGCTAGCTAGCCATACAGAGGTGTTAGTTTAAGCTCCCCTTTGTGTTCCAACAGTACAGATTTTTGAAAAATCAAAGTAATCAGGTAACTAGGATTCTGAAGAGAAAATTACACAGAATATATAAAGGTTTAAATGCCTCATTTGATATTAAGCTTAGATTAAAATACATCCTAAATTCCACTCCACGGACTAAGAAAAACATCTATTCAGGCATTTATTAAGCACTATCTCAGAAGGTACCCTGGGAACACTAGGCATTTAAACACACTATAGCAAAAACGTTGAGATAACTAACTACGTAGGAAGATACTCCACAGACTCCTCTAACAGCCTTCATCAAAAACTAGAGAGGACATCCCTTCTAGAGTAACTTTTCTACGCATTTGACCACAGAGAAAGAACATTTCCTGCTGGGATTCAGTTGACTAGACACACAGGCATCTAATGCCATTTGATAGGCCCTAAAACATCCTGTCTAGCTTCTAGCTATTGCTGCTGCAAGATAATGGTCTCTTACAAGTCCGAGTGGTCTCCTATAGGTCCTACAGGTTCCAGGTCATGCTGAAAATACCCAGGCATCTTAAGATACCCTAGGCCATCTCAAATGGCACCACATGCCTATGTGCAAAGCTCAATGTACATTAAAGGTGACTCAGCTACTTTAGGGGTTGTCTGCACCACTAAATTGCCTTCCAGGTTAGTTTTGTGCCCCTGTGATGTCCATTCCATTACTTCAATGCAACGCCTCAACGATGATCCCTTCTAATACGTAACCTGTTCTTGAAGCGTGAATCTGATAAGCCTCTAAACCAAAATTAAGTCAATTCTTTAAGAGCCCAGAATCACAGTGAAGTGGTTTTGCCTACACTGAAACACAACAGCTTTTGTTCTTCACAATGCTTGGATGAGACACCCTTAAATTAATGACTATCCTTCCATTACCAATGGTAACACTGAGCTCCTTCCCTCTTTACGAACTGCTAAAATACAGAAGAACGTCCCTGAAAGTTTACAAGCAAAAATGAACAAAACACTGCCTGGAACACACACAAACCAAATCAAGGCAAGCATCACAAACAAGTTGAGTATGTGGTAGTTTAATTATAAAATAAACTTATCAAAATGAGAAATCAATCCCTGTATCAAGAGCAACTGCTCAGTTCTGATATCAAAGGTAGTCAAAGTTGCAAAGAGCTATGTAGTATAGAGAGGAATAACAATTACACAAACACTGATGGTTCAAGGCAGTACTTTGCAATATGTACAGCAGTACCACATTCTGCTGCTAGTATAGTACAACACACTTTTCCTTCCTTCCTGTTACAAGGATTATCACATGCCCATACATCAAACAGAATGAAAGTTATCACAGAAAGTTCTGTAGGAAAAAGCAGATCATGCTCTAACAAGATGTCACAGAAAGTAAGCCCACATGCCTCATAAGTTGCAGAACTGATCTTTTTTTTTTTAACTTGTCAAGGTAATATGACAGAAAAGGAGTAGCCTTTGCACACCCTTACTTTCACAAAGTTTTTGCCTGCAAATCAGACGAGAAATTCTCATTGGCTGGGCTAATTCCAGTGCAACGCTAAAAGTAAAGTTGTAACTTAACGTCAACTTTGCTGAATTTGGAAGTTTTCAGAGCCGTCTATAACAGAGCATTATAAATGTTCTTTTGAGAAGTCTGAAAGGACCCATCAGTTTATATAAGGATAAATACATAAAAATATATATATGAAAATCTCTGAAGAAATTTTCACGTATTCTCCTCTTTTCTACAGATAAATAGATATAAAAAGTTTTCTTTATTAGCAGAGGTAGCTGAGTAGCAGTGCAACATAGACCAATGGAATTTAAACAGACTATATTCACAGCACAATTGAGAAATTCTTCACACCCATAAATTTACAGAGATTATGCATCTGAATGCTGCCCTTTGGAATACTAAATGGTAATCAGGATATACAGAACCCCACCTGCACTCTGTGGGCTTCACCCCATTCCACTTTAAATCGTACAAAAGGTGCAAACATTTCAACGTATTTGTTCAACTTCATCTTTCATTTCATCAACATGTTTATAGAAAGCATGACCTCAGTCTTTATTCAGTTGACTAAAAAATTAATTATGGTCTATGTGAGTAGCACCTTAAAAAGTCACTGGCTTCACATACAATTGATCAAGTTGAAAATTCCTCATTTTCAGATGAGGAACTAGCTCGTTCTTCAGCTGTCCTACCAGTGTTTCAAGACAGCAGTATCTAGAACGCTATCTAGTTCAACAGAAACATTCACGCTCTACACAGAACACTACTGCTTTCTCTTAACACTATTAAATGCACTACATCGACTTCATTTTGTACTACATTAAACATTGATTTAAAATCTTGCAGGGACTGCCTCAAACACTTTCTAGAAAATGGAGTAATTTGTTGAATTATACTTTTCCATATTAAAGACTGTCTTAAGCTTCATAATTACAGCAAAAAAAGAAAAAAGGACGAAAGTAAGAGATGCTCACGTTGCAGCCTTCTGGCCAGAAAAATCGCAAGCACTTTCACGTAGAATCCAAGGCTTAACACAGGTTTTAGAATTGAGGTAACTGACGCTGCAGTGTTCACATAGTGGAGGCAGCCTTGAAACGATTAGTTTTCATCAACTGGAGTATATGGGACATTGCTAACCGTGCCAGATTCTTACTTGGCAAGAAGTAGAACTTGCGTTACAAGAACTCCTACTCTTAAAGCTGACGACTATAGTGATCAATACATACCTCACACACAAAACCTGCTTTAAATAAAATCCTGTTTCTTTGCTTGGGGAGGGTGCTGAAGCATACCCTGATGCCACCAGCATCACCAGAGCTATGTTTTCGGTCCAACGTTTCTGCAGGGTAAGATGTACCACTACTTCTCTGCAAGTCAGACCAAAACTTCTGTTATCGTTTAGGAAAACTTTGGCAGCAATGGTACCTCCATCTGATATGCTAGACAGTTATAGGCAATATACTGTACAACTTTCCTTCCTTGTAAGGAATCCAAAAGGTAATATCTTTGGGGTTTTTTTTTGATCTCATATAATCACCACCATTTAACGGGCAAAACTTCACTGCAGGGTTTTAAGATCACTCATGAACATTGACACTTTCAGAGACACCAAGTTAAATCTTTTGAGAGAGTGTTGTTGAAGTAAAGCACAATAAAAAATAAATAAATGAATAAAGCATAGGCTATGCCAATCTCCTAAGAGCAAAAACATATTTTACCTACACAGTTTACTCTAGTGAACGACATCTGACCGTGAACCCAATGTTTTATTTAGAAATAAAAATAAATAAAAGGTACTCTAAGAGCGAGATACCTGCTCCAGCTTCTCCTCACTGGCTTCCTACTCAGTATCTTGCTCAGATGTTCTATGCTTTTCTACAACTCATTTGATCTTGCACTGAAATCCTCTTCTAGTGCCTCAAGATGCTTCTCCCGCTGGGGGTATACTGAAGGACTTGCATCTTCCCAGGTCATCCTCTATTTCCTCCATCTGTATACTGCTAGATGCTTCCTCCAATCTGTCTTCCACTGCATTCTTTCTCTAATGGCTCAAATTCTACTACTTATTCTATACTGGATACTTCTTCTAGCTGCTCCGCTGGTTCTCCAACTGACCTTCTACTGGATTCAACTTCTAGCTGCTCAAACCCCTTTCTAATCTTTCACGAGAGTCCTTTGAAAAGCAAGTGATGACCACTGAATAGGAACTAAAGAAAGATTTTAATTATATCTGAGCTTAACAGGCCCGTTAAGGCTCCTTGCAAAGGTGAAAAAGCCATCTTAAAAATAAGTCTCTTTCTGTTCAGTGTCTTCATATTAATCTGCACAGTAGTGTACGTAGATATTTTAAGTACTCTTTCTGCAGTTTTCTACATACAACTTTGATTCCTCTAAGCAAACACTGAACATAAGTTGTGTTCCACTTTGTCGGTCATCATTTTGCGCAGTAGAATTTGCGCTGAAAGACTGAATGAGAACTCTAGCACTTCCAAAAGGACCTTCATACACTGTGCAAGCAATATCACAAGCCAAAAGAGCATAAGCACTATGCCAAAAAGATCCCTTTCACAACTTCATCGCATATTGTTTCCTTTAAGTAAAGGAAACACACAGACCTTAGTAGCTATTTAAGTTATCTGTGTCTTTAGGGGCTTCCATCCCCCCAAACAAGCACATGATATGAAATCCGAGAAAGTGTCTAGATTATGTATTGGGCAGTTTACGTTTCGATACAAGAAAATCATGCTTGGTATGATATAAGCTCATACTGAGAGCTACATTTCAACAGTTCAAATTATCTATCCTGTTCAAGAGCTCTCAAAGCTACATTAAATATTTACGCATCACAAGAGGTCAAATTCAGCACAGCAGGTTGAGAAAAAATTCCAGTATGTACCTTTTCTGTCCAATGTTCCTTCCAACCTACAGAGAAACAGCACCCACGATTTTACGTTTTTAATAACCATGCCTTTAGATAAAATAGGAACTGTCAAGCCAGACCTGTTCTTTACCATCAAATAAACCACGAAGTAACAGGAAGCAAGCAGACATTTTAAACATAAAAGATTACAGCAATGTTTATCACGATTTTCAGAGCTACTTCTAATAATCCTGCTAACATTACCTACTTTTGTTTTGTAAGAGGTAAGTTGTAGCCATGATTTAAATGCACTTAACTAAAGACAGTGGATTACTTACCAAAGAAGTCAAATGAAAAGGGATCCCTTCCACCAAAGAACTCCCTAAAGACATCTTCTGGGTTCCGGAATGTGAATCCGAATTCAAACTGATTATCAAATAGACTTCCTTCTGCAGAAAAAGAAGTTACATTTCAAATATGCTCACACATTCATGCTAGCAAAAAAGTTCATGCCCATATGGTATTTGAAACATCTAAGAAAATACAAAAACACTGAACTTTCTCTAAAATTTCTCTCTCATATATACCATTTAACTTAAGTATACAAAATGCTTTTCACATTTAATTCTTTTGTACGATTCCAGATATCAGTAGCATCTGTTACCACAACTAGAAAAGTTGTAAATGGTTTGCAATTTCAATTTTCAGGGGATTATATTTTAGCCCTTGACACAGACATTTCCAGATTCTTGTCTTATAAAGCTGCAGAAAATAGCTTTCCACTAGAACACAGGAAACAGAATTGCTAGTTGTCAGCATACCTCCACCTCCGTTTATTAAGCCTTCTTTTCCGTACTTGTCATAGATGTCACGTTTTTTAGCTACAAAGAGAAGTTGCACATTGTGTCAGTAAATAAGCACATTACATTTGGAAAAAAAAACCAAAATCACTTAACTGGTATTCTCAGCTAATCATCTCCACAAAGCTAGCTTATTTAAGCAAGATCTGACATGCAATTGACAAACATTTTTGTTGAGGATTGCCAAAGCAGTTTAGGTACTAAAAGAGCAGATACTAAACTTCAGACTCATCACCATTTAGTTCTAGAAGCTCAGGTCCTACTGTATCAGAAACAATACTGTGGTAAGTTCTAGCATAAGGACAAATCTTGGAAGGAAGATAGTCTTTGAAAGAAATACTAGTGTCTTGATCTTCACACAGCTACTGTGCAAAGCTTTGGGCTGGAAGGAACCTCTGGAGGTCGTACAGTCCAAATCCCTCCTCCAAACAAGGCTAATCTCAAAGTTAATCAAAACTTGACTAGATAAAGCCCTGATCTCATCAGTATCCAAGACAGAGTTCACAGTTTCTCTGGTCAACCTGTCCTTGTGCTTAACCACTCTCATTGCAGGCATTTTTTTTCCTTCTATCCAACTGGAATTTCCCTTGCTACAACTCTAGACCACTGCCTCCTGTCCAAACCCACTGTGACACAGTTATGAAAAAAGGAAGAACGGTGTTTTCTACCAGTGACTGCAAAAACACTCCAGTTGATTATAATCATTTCCAGTTTAATAAAGGGGACGGAAGACAAGTTAAAAACACACACAAAAAGGGCTATGCAAGGATCGATTCAAACTGCTTGCTTTGTATTATTTTAGAAGGCATGGAAAGGTTCTTTCTTAATTTCACTGCAGATTACCCTTCTAGTTTCCCCAAGAAAGGGGAGGAAACAAATTAAGTCTGCACTACTACGTAAAATGAGACTGCATCGTTGGTACTGAAGTGGAACCTGAAGAGCTTAAACATGTGGAACGTCATCTTATTTCGCATGCACCGCTCTGAAAGCGTAAGCCAAAAAAAAAAAAGAGTTAGGGGACATGATTTTAGATTCAATAGCAGGATGGTATGGGAATACCACTTGAATCTCTTCAGTGAAGGACTCTTTGAAATTTAAGTAGTATCACTGAAAGAACATGCAGTTACCTTAAACAACTGCTGAGAAGTAAAACACTCCTAACTAAAGGGAGTTATGATTTTATATACTGGTCATCATTTACAAGTTACAGAAACTTGCGCTAGTTTCATTTTTTCTGAAAGCCTGGTACGCTGTAAAGAAAGGTTAACCTATCCACCAATAAAAAAAGGACCAAAGTAGCAAGGTGGACAAACTGCAGAAAAGTAGCAGAAAAAGGGAGACCTGAGGGCTCACAGAACTGGAAATTTATGTTGAAAACCTAGCGTTCTCGAAACCACAAGGGAAGAGTTTTCTATGATCACACAACACTAACACTCCTTGCATAAGTAAACCCTTACAAAAATATTCTTCTGCTAAAAATCTTTATTCAAGACTGCAATGATGTCAGATAATTTCATTAAACCTTCAGGACAGCTGAGCGTCTCTCAACCACCGGGTTCAGGATTCAGCTATGTCTTCTGCACAAGTGACAGTTATGACACCAGTAACTTTGGATTTGGTCTAGCCCCCAAAAGAGTCAGCATTTTTAGAAGTTCTAAAGTTTTAGCAGTGTAGTTCCAAGGAAACTTAATCACCTGCCTATCAACCAGATCAGTATCCTTGTTTGACCTTGGTCAAAAATTTGCTTAAGAAGGTTCAACAGATCTAGAAGACAACAATGCAGTGAACCATCCATAAATTAACCTCTGTTTCTCCCATGCCAATTAAATATCAAAACTAAGGAAACAGGATGACCAAGTCTGCAGCTTGGTAAACCAGGCCAACTTCTGACAGCTAATCTAGATGCTGCTGCTTTAAATTTAGCTTTCCCAAGCTCATTGGTCTCAGGTGAAATCAAGGACACTTCAGAAATAGCATGTAGACAGCTGCAGCCAATTATAGGCAAAAATAATCAAAGTTGCTTAAATCACTTTGTTGTGATTCAGATTACTTTTGCCAAAACACAAGGAAAAGCTAATGCTACTTTTTAAGCAAAAAGATAGGGGTGAACTATAAGCTGAATTCTTGCAGCACATGGATTAGTCTAAAAAACTGTTTCAGAACTATTCTAAATATAAAGGTTTCCCTGGGTATCATACTTCATTGGATTTATGAAATTCATCCAAAGGAAATCCAAATTTTGAGCAAGGTTTGTAAAAGGCTTGGGCTTTGTAAGGACTAAGTAGTATTACTGGAACTAGAAACACTTGAATATGAAGCTAACTATGAAGCCTGCTGATAGCTCAGAGATTGTCTCACCTGCTTTTATTGGTATATCTTAAAACAGAAACTGGTAAGCCTTTCCCATTTCCCACAGTAAGGTTCACTGAAACATCAAATGCATGAAGCAGCTTACTGGCATTACTCAATGAAATTCCCTAAAAACTAATACCACACAGCCACAGCACAAGAGCACCATATGCCTGAAGCTTCTCTCTTAACAATTCCCTTAGAGTAACTGATTTTACCTACTAAGTACTAGGTAAACTGTTGGTATTCATACATGTCTCTTCAGAAATTCACACACAGGGCCTAGGATTTCAGCTTCTAGAAGTAAATGTTTCAGCTACTCAGCTAGGAAGATCCTGAATTTTCAGTTTCAAAATTTCTGCTTATTCTGCATCACCTGCAGACCTCCTCCACCTTTTCCTTCTTCCTTTCAGGAAGGCAGTACTTGAGCTGGATGGAGAACCAAGTTTAAAATATCCCTTTAAAGTGCTATGAATGTTCTCCTGAGCATTTCTAGTGTCATATCTAGTAACCAGAGACCTACAGTTCAGGAGCCCTTTCAAAATACTTACTATCTGACAAAACTTCATAGGCCTCAGCTACTTGTTTAAATTGCCGCTCTGCCTCTTCTTTATTGTCTGGATTTTTATCGGGGTGCCATTTTAATGCCAATTTACGGTACCTAAAAGGAAGGAGAAAAAAGATGCAATACTTTAAAATAAAGAAATATGCTATAAGGCTACACAAAGTCTCAAATAAGTTGTTAGGGATTAAGGTATTTAAGATTTCTCAGTGCTTTGTATCTTTTCTCTAGACCACTACCAACAAAGTTTGCGGGTATGCAAAGAACCACCTGCCCCGTCTGCTAGAAGAATGTAGCTCTTTGAGATCAATTATTCCTGTGCGATTCTGATGCTGAAACATCTGTTGCTACTAAACTTTATGGTGGTATCCACAACTTTGTTTACAATATGCACTATTGAAGTATGCTGCTTTTTTAATGGATCGATTGCTCCTCTAACAGTATTTCCAAAGCTTTTTTTTTTTTTTTTTAAATAACGAAATCAACCTGATCTACCTGCTTCCTTTCATTCAAAGGAGTTGGCAGGTCTAAGCAAAAAGGAGAGAGAAGTAAAGGAGACATTACAAGACCACCCCGTAACTTTTCTGCCACGGGCTGCTCCTTAGAGCAGCACAATCATTCAATACTACAACCAACCAACTTGTGATAAGCATCAAGAATACTCTTCTGGTACAGAGATGATAAGGCTGCAAGGATACTCTGATTCCAATTTGTGGGAGCATCTAACATCAATGGCATGTGTGCTTGACTGCAGGCTATACTTGCATATAACTCCTATCCTTAGGAGAAATATTTTAGGCAAAGCGTTCATAACTACTTAGAGGAACAGAGCACCAGAACGTGCTTTGGAGTGTTTTAGAGAGTGGTATGAGAACACAGTTCAGACATTTGAGTTTACAAAGAATCTGCAGGAGTTTGCTGAAGAACAAGGGAGAAAAAAAAATAATAATAATCAAATTGTTATGACTAGGGCAGCTTGATTAATCAAGCTCAGGCGCTTAGGAAAAAGGCAAGAGAGAAAGACAGCATTTCCAGGTCACTGGAAACTGCAACTGACTGTCAAACATTTTTGTTATACTAGAAAATTCTACTACAGGAATGTGTCCTCCCAACTGTTCGTGGAAAACTAAAAGGAATCTTTTTTTAAAGATATGTATTAAGGTAGATATTTTTAACAGAAGTAGTAAATCTAAATTAAGAACTGTATTAAATTTCTTTGAATATTCTTAATTTATATGTGGTAGAGACTTTTCTTTTTTCTTTTTCTTTTCTTTTTTTTTTAAATAGTAACAGGTATTCCGTGTATTAAAATCTAGGCACAGAAGGCCTCATCTGATGAAAGAGCTAAGTTTCCAAAACAGCAGTGTGCTACATACTTATTAACCCCTTAGGAAAAAGTATTATTCTCAGCAAAACAAGCTAACTCACTGCAAAAGGAGTGGAAGGCTAGTAACTTCCATTCAGTTACAGAAGAAGGAGCTATCACTGCCTGTACCATACCAAACTTCAAGGCACGCTTGTATGGAACTGTATTTAACAGTGACCATGACAAGTGACTGACATAATTTTCACTTTAAATGTACACAGGATTTTTCTCCCAATTTCATAAAAATGAGTGAATGCTTTTTCTTCAGACCACCAAGTATTTCTCTGTTGGTAAAAGTATCACTCAAATGACTATTACTCATGCTAATATTAATAACAAAATAAGTATCCAAAGACCATGTGATTACATTTATTCATTAAAATATATAGTTTATATGAGATACACCAAAGAGACACTTACGCTTTTTTAATATCTTCTGGTGAGGCATGCTTTTGCACTCCCAGAACTTCATAGTAATCCACCATGTTTCAATGTCTTGGTTAAAAACAGCTGGTCTTTAAAGTCCTGCAATAAGAAGAACTTGTAAAGGAAGCTCGCACAGTAATGCTACTTCATAAAAATCAGGTAGGAGCCTAGTGCCTTCGGGTAGCAAACGTGACCATACAGAGCTGCTTGTTTTTATAAATTCAGATGTTCCAGACACATACGCACACAAGATTACCTTAGTCTAGGCTGACAGATCAAACAATTACTTTGATTGTTAATTTCGTGTTTATGGTCCTTAATTCTACTGATATACAGCGTAAAAAGATCTACCTAAACAACAGGTCCCTGCATCAGATTAGGTGAAAAAGCTAGCTCTATCAATACATTAAGAGGAACAGGCACAGTATGCCATAATTCTAAATATATACTATCTTCTGAATACAAAACAAATCGTATACCAAGTTCACTTAATGTCACCTACTACGGACATACGAGCACAAACAAAAACGGCAGTATTTCATATGTTTCTCAAAATATTACTTCTACTGTGATGCTCCCTTCAAGAAAAGCATACAGCATGTGCAGTTCTCAGAAATGTGAAGTTGTATCTAGTTTCCAGCTAGTCTTCCTTATATTCAGACCTTCACAAGAATGGATCATGATCCAAAAAGTCATATTAAAAAAAACATATCAAAGTTACTAAATTCCATTTTCTTCCTTTACATTTATCAATGTCAAATACATAGTCAGACTATTAAACAGCCTAAAGAAAGGAGGCATCTTGTTTAAAGGAAAAACAACAACAGCAACCCAATCGTGGTATCTCTTCAGTGTTAGAGGATAAAAGTCCCAGGTTTCACAAGAGCCCTAAGAAACCTACAAGTTAAAAGAAAAAGCATTTGCCTTCTCCAGCTTAAGGAATGATAGTTTCTAATCAATACTAAAGGATGGTTATCAGGAACAGTCATACCAGCCATTATTTCAACTAAATGACCCCTAAGACTAAAGAACCTTGCTAAGAATTTCAACAACATTTAATCTCTTACTGTTAAGCCTCCTCTTCCTGTCCCTGTAACAAGCTTCCATTCCGCCAAGACTTCCAACCAGCTTTCCATCCTACTACTCTCACAGGTTAGTTTCAAGCTTTATCAGCAAGGCAACACTGACCTTGTCCATCCGCTATCAACTCCCAGAATACAAAATTGTTCAGATGTAAGAGAATACAGAAGAACTTATTATTCAAGTGTTCTTATCCATGTGTCAGAATCAGAAATTCCCTGAATCCATTTTTCCCCCCCATCCTCTTTAAATCATCCAGTACTTCTCATTTCAAAACCAGGCAAAGTCTTACTTTCCAGTTCTTTTACATAAGCCCTCACAGAATCAACTATAATATACACCAGCTAAGTATTCTGAAATTTACTTAGTATACTAGTACTACACATATCTTTCAACAAAGACATTAAAAAGAGACTTCCTTTTTAAAATGATTTGTATATTTTCAAAGTATATTGCCCTTGTAGGTTAAAGCCTAATTAACTTTAATTAGGGATGTGGCTACGTAAACATTTCCTCAAGTGGCAAAGCCAGTTTAAGAGATAACTGGCCACATTACCTCCCCCCTCCAAACTGCTTACAGAAACAAGTGTTGGAGTTAGCTACATTTTTGTAAAACTTGTGTTGTTTTAGCCTGTGTTTAGCCATCTGGTTCACCATATAATCCCACAAACACCTCCGACGTTGAATTGTACCAGGTGAACAGACCTCACTTTGACTTTGCCACTTGAAGAAATCTTCATGTTAAATTATACCCTTACTGTTTATTTCAGTGTTGTGACTGACACGGAGAAGGTAAGTTGGACAATTAGAGACATTACGTGCATTAAACTGATCACTAAGTAGGCCAATACTATTGTAACAATGGCAAGCTTGAATACTTAAAAGATAGGGGCTAGCAAGAAACATCACAGGATATTTGCAATCAGCTGGCCTCCCTAGATTTATTGTTTCCCAAACAATGATTTTAGAAGAGCTCTGTGAATACACAGGCCAGGAGTATGGTTACCATGGGTTAAATATGTTATCAAACCATGTAGCCAACTATGAGTAATAAACTACATGTCCCCTATACACTATTTAAAAAAAAAAACCACAAACAAAACCCACAGAATCAAAGTCTTTAGAGTTTTAGTTACAGGACTGCTCTGCTATTAGTAGTTTGACCAGAAGCTCATCAGTATCATGAAGCTTTTCATACCATTTCTGCAACCAAAAAAAAAAAAAGAAAAAGAAAAAAGAAAAAAAAGGAGAAAAAAAATCTAGCATGAGTCAAGTTCAAGGCTAGAGGTCAGAGCCCCTCCTAACAAGAGATATAAGCCTAAAAATAAGAGAGCTAAGAGCGGGAAGCCACAACACACGCAAACATTTACCATACTTAAGTATTTCCTCCCTATTGTTTTCTTCCTTAAAGTCAAGACTATATTAGTACTCCTCTCAATTTAGACAGGTGTCTTAAGAATAAAATTCAATCTTCTTGCTGGAGCAAGGAGGTGGAAAAAGCAACTCTCTCAAGTAAAAAAAAAAAAAAAAAAAACAGAATAAAACTTTTCCATAAGCAATTAAAGAACTTTCCTCATGCAGGCCGTTGTATTGATTTTAAGAGAGATTTCTTTAGATACTTCAGCTGGTCAATTGTTTAAACAACAGGTGCTCCAGTGTTAACAGTTCAGGTTCAATACACTAACTTTTACATATGCTTTTTTCCAGGGTTTTTTTTGGGTGCAGCTTAGGATAAACACCCAAAAACATAAAACTGGTAGTATAAGGTATGATTCAGCCCCTTTAAAAGGGCTTGGACTGTTACTCAGCACAAATTCTAGTAAACAGGGAAGAGCGAGGCACACCACCACCCATACCCACAAACTGGAAAGGACCTCACCCTGCAATCTTTCTAGGGGGAAGGAATATTTGAAATATTCACTCGGCAAAATAACTACCATCAACTTACAAACTTAAAAAAGAATACGAGTGACAAAAAAAAAAAAAAATCAGTAACGTTAAGCACAGCAGGAACCTGCTTGGTGAAACGCACAGACGATTCCAAGAAACAAACCATAAACCTTCCTGCTAAGTGAAAAGCAAAAATACTCAACTGCCCTAATCAATGACACGAAGGAAATGTTCTCTCAACTCCAAATCTGTCAAACAATTTGTCTCCAAATACACAAGCAAAGGTCATTAACTAGTCACTCAAGACATCTTTCCCAAGCCACAAGGAATCCAGCCCACATCAGCTAATTTCCTGCTTCCAACCACAGAAAATCTTCAAAGCCTCAGAAAAAAAAAAAAAAGAGCAAGAAAACTCCAGACAAAAGAAACTGTTTCATGGCCTTGGTGCTGGCCTGCAGAAGTCCAGTTACTCGGGCTCATAATTTCAATATTTCTATATGAAGTTAACGGCTAACTCTTAACTCCTTTATAACACCAACAAATCGAACATCCCAACCTTCACGTGAACTGAAGGTTTTACTAGCTTATAGATTTAACTCTCAGTTAGCACGGGGGAAGGAGTCAGTTCTTTTCAGGCTCACCAAACAGAAACCATGAGCATTCATACCGACACAAGGCAAGCGCTAGGAATACATGAGCGGTTTGAGACCTCCCTCTTACAGTACAGCCCAAAGCTAGGCCTGTTTCCAGCTATCTTCAAACGGGTCTCATATACTCACTGAACAGCAAAGTCCTCAACTACATAAAAGGCATAAGGAGAATAAGAGAAGCAAGACCAGTGAAGAGCTATAAAATTTTATCAGGCCATTATGACAGAGAGAAGAAGAAAAAAAAAAAAAAAAAGCTGTCAGATGCACAACCTGCATCACCTTCAGTGATGATGAAATAGCACCCCTAACTAAATACAGAGAAGAGGAAAGTAAGTAAATAAGAAGTTCTTAAACCAGTCAGGAGTGAATTCAGATGACAGCAACAGGCATGCACATTTGCAGTCAGCTTAGTCAGAAAAAGTTATCTATTTCTAGCCATGAAGCAACAGGATAGCATGGAGAGGCCTGAAAGACTCCAGAATAGCTGAAAGCTTAGTGACCAGGGCAGTCACCTGAGCGGAGAGAGATCCAGTTCCAAATTCCCAATTCAAGCAACTTACAGAAGAAGCCAGTCATCCACTGGCTATGTAAGTGCTGCAGTCATTCAGTTCCTAATACCTGTCTGCCTTCTACATCCTGCTGGCAACAGAAGAAGAACAAATACCCTGCTCTGAATCTCACTTCGGTTTAAGCGAACGTCTGATCTACTCAACAGCAATAGAGCAGTTCTGAGATGTCTCTGGGAAGTGAGCAAGTGATGGACACACTTGAGAATTTTGGGGAATTACAATCTATACCTAAAGAAAAAACGTGATTTTCCACGTTCCAAGAGTTTTTATTAGAAAGCAATGGCAGCATTTTTAATCACCTAGTGCCAGATCCAATGAGTTATTAAATGCCTTCAATTATGAATGAGACTACAGTAATATTAACACTGCTGTGGATCCACGACTATAACAGAGAAATGGCATGCACTACAAGCACTCTGAAAAAATCTTTAGGATGTTTTTCATCTGATCGTTATATAGCAAAGGCACCTTTGCTGAGTTTCTGTTTTGGCAGGTTTTTTTTCTTTTTAAGTTCAGGAAATTGAGAGACATATACTAACATTTTCAGTCTAAAAGTAACAAATATCAGACAAAATTCAGTTACTTCACTTGCTCATATACAACAGATCTCAGATGCACTCCATGAAGTATAAAATAAAGGTCAACCATAAAGCACTAACTACCACTGTATTAGCCAAGGCTTCCAAGCCACATTCGTATCAGTGGCTTGGATAGTCCTTAGTGGCTTGAAGACGTCACTGCCTTCTACACACAGGTATTGGTAATAGAATCTGCACTCTTGTGTCATCCTACGTCAAGTAACCAAGAAAAGGAAAACATTATACTGCAACTCTTCAGTGCACATCACTCTGTTGACAACCAAATGCATTTTACGTAGCAGAACTCAGCAACGTACAAACTTATACATCTT